GCCCACCTTGTTAGCTTTGCCTATTCTCAACAGTGACCGTATCTAATGATCAAGGATCATCAAAGAAACAGATTAAATAGCTAAAAACTCTGCCCAACTGTGCCAGACCTTTTCTCAGCCCATGTCCGCTTTGGAAGACTTAAGTTTAGTTCAGATTTTAGCGGTTTAGCATGGCGGGCTAACAGCAGGGGGAGGCTGCCACCTCCGGTCAGCATGGTTCTGAAACTCAGAGGAAAATGTCTGTTTTGAAGCTGTTTGGTTCTGAAATATCAACAACCAGGACTTAGCCTTGGTCTCCTCTCTCCTCAGCCCGTGGACATCTCCCAGGCCGTGACGGAGCGAATCAAAGCTCAGAGGCGATTGGCTGAGAACCCCTATGACATCAGCGCCATTTGTATGCTGAGCCGCGCGCAGGAGCAGGTAGAGAAGCGTTCTTATAAATTAGCTAAACTCTGCAGATTTTAGCTAATGCTAACGTTTTCCCAACAGGTGGACGCATGGGCTCAGTCCAGTAACGTTCCTGGTCTGTTCACTGGTTCTACTGGAGCTCAGGTTCTTAGCTCAGAGGAGCTGTCCACCAGCGGACCGCAGGCCTGGCTCAAGAAGGTGAGACTCATCTCCTCCATGTGGAGCTTCATGCATTCCACTTCTCAGATCATCGAAGCTCATCATACAAGCTGATTTCCCAGCATGCACTCTTTCACCCCCTTAGAGACTCAGGTTGGATCAGGATAAAATCTAACCGCCAACCTTAGCATAGCGTGCAAAAACTGTGCTAGCGCGTGCGTAGCCTATGCCCCCATCACGCAAGTGTATATCACGCATAACCTACATGTATAGCCAACCCACATATATCAGGCGTAACCCCCATGCCGCTCTAACGCCCGGTATATATCCCCCTTTAGAGAGCTCTGATGATTACAATTTCTTCCTGAGAAAAAAGTTTATAAAACCTGCATAAAATATCAAAAGGCTGATATCATTACAGCAGCAGGAATCCCAGAAAGGCTGGAAGGAGGGAGGGAGCAATAAGGAACCTGATAAACTGCCTGCATGAAGGAGGTTTAAGGTGGACTTTTCCCTTTAAAACACCTTAAATCTCCTTTTCTGTCTCAGTCATCACAGCAAACGAAGCGTCTCTTTATCGCATCTGAATGAACACAGAGACGTTGGACAAGACGCGGCGGTTTGATGTCTTTCTGACGCCTGAAACTAGTTTGGCGTGACAGATGGGAGGGAAACGTCCGAGAAGCTGCTTGCTTTGCAGAATAACCCAGCTGTCACCATCAAATGAGGGTCTATGTCCATCAGAACGTCCTGACTGACCTTAGCTGGACTCTGAGGCCGATGGCAGCTGCTCTCCACTTTAATGAGGCGGTTTTTATCCGTCCAGCTGCCAGCCGCTCTTCCACCTCCACAGTCAGAGAATGAGACCAAAATAGCATAAGGACCAAAAGGAAAGCAGGAAATGACTGTATGAGGGTAGCGAGATGTGGAGTCCGGACCGGGTCAGACTCGACTCTCTCACCCCGTTCCTCTGTCTGCTCTGAACAGGACCAGTTCCTAAGGGCGGCTCCGGTGTCGGGGGGTGTCGGTGAGTTCCTCATGAGGAAGATGGGCTGGAGGACGGGCGAGGGCTTAGGGAGGAACCGCGAGGGGACGGTGGAACCCATCGTCATCGACTTCAAAGTGGACAGAAAAGGTCTGAACAAGTTTCCCCTTCCTCTGTTTCTAAACATCAGGCGGCCATTTTAGAATGAATGAAATTCACCACTTCCTGTTTAATCTCCCGCTGCCTTCCACGTCCCACTGATGGACTCTTTAGGCAGGTTTAGGGCGGATGATCAGGATAGGACCGAGGTTCTTGAGCCAATGATTTTTATCTTCCAGGTCTTGTTGCTGAGGGAGAAAAGCCACAGAAGCAAACAGGAGGGCTGGTTGTTACCAAGGACCTGATGGGTAACACATTCACTGTTTACGATTCAATCTACGCATCTGCTTCCCGATGTTCCAGTGTAAAACATTCAAATGATACCTTCGTGTCTTACTTTGATCGGATCATCATTGATGATCTAAAGCTTCAAACCAACCTGGGCTGAAATCCCAGTTCCAAAAACTCTGCATGATGAGGGTTTCCCCTTCTTCAACACGGACACATGTGGCTAATTCTGAGCTGCATATGTGAAGATTTAGTTAGCATGATGCTAACTAGCATTAAAAATCCAATGGGCATGCTAGTGGTTTTTTTTTTGTTGTTTTCCTCAGATTTGTTCCTGCCTAAAACAACCAAAAATCTTCCTAGAAGTGTTATACGACATCCAACACTTTATAAAAACCTAAACCCGGACAGGTTAACAGAGACATGGCTTTCAACATCGGCCCCGTAGAAATCCGACTTATTGACCGTTCTGAAACCGCTTCTTTAGCTTCAGACTTGGAGGATCAGAGATGCGCTACTCTGCGTCTTCATGCAGACATTTTCGCGTGTTCATAGTGCTAGCCATGTCTCCATACATTCAGCTAGCAACTCAAATAGCTGCAGCTTTTTTGGCTTTGAGTCACAGAGTGGCGCATTCTGAAAGGGCTTAAAATCTCATTAGCTAAGATTGATTTTATGCAAAAGATGCAATAAGCACGTTTTCTAAGGCCCATAGAGCTTCGTAAAGGTTTAAAAGGAAGAATATAAGCTCCTGTTTTAGGGAGATTCTGCTAGCTACTGAGGAAAAGTGGAAAAATTAAGATATTTCTTTATTTCACTTAGTAAATCAGAGTCATTCATTTTTGCAATACTTGATCTAAAACTGGAGAAGTTTATCTAAACTCCCTCCCTGCCTTCCTTGTTAATATATTTGAGCAGTGCGCCCCACCTTAGCATGAGAAAAGGAGTGTGAGTGAGGCGCGTGCAAATAAAAGAAAAAATTTAGTTAGCATAATGCTAACTTGCATTAAAACATCAGTGGGCATCGTAGTGCTATTTGGGTTAACCCTAACACTCCTAAAACAACCAAAATGCTTCCTAGAAGTATTATATACCATCAGACACTTTTTAAAAACATAAACCACGACAGGTTAACAGAGACATGGCTTTCAACATCGGCCCCGTAGAAATCAGATTTAATGAAACCGCTTCTTAAGAACCAGAGCGGTGCGCCGCACTTTAACGTGAGAAAAGGAGCGTGATTGATTCAACTTCTGGTTAAAAGAAATTATGTAAAGAAAATGCTTCCATTTTTGTTCTGCAAAATTTAAAAAACTTCAATACGGACGGGGGAGAAAAACGCCTCATTGTATATAAAAAAAAACTTCTTCGGAGTTTCTGAGGAATTGTCGCGTTTCCATTAAATCTACGTAGAATTCAACCGTTGGTGGAAGCGTAGCTAAGGATGGTTTCGGTCCAAACCAGTGATGTTAGCGTAGTGCTACTCTTTTCATAACTGAACTCTAACTCGCTCACTCAAATAGTGCTGAAACAATTATTTGGATTAATCGATTATTGAAATAATGGTTAACTACTTTATCCATCCATTTAATAGCAAGCTTATCCCAAGTGGGGTCATGAGGGGTGCTGGTTTCTATCTCCAGCTGTCAATGGGTGAGAGGCGGAGACTGAAAAGGTCTCCAGTCCATCGCAGGGCGACACAGAGACAAACAACCATTCATACATGCACTCACACCTAAGGAGAATTTAGAGAAGCCAATTAACCTAACAGTCATGTTTTTGGACTGTGGGAGGAAGCTGGAGTACCCAGAGAGAACCCACCATGCTCAGGGAGAACATGCTAACTCCAGGAAGAAAGACCCCGGGCCACGAATCGAACCTTCTTATTCTTGCTGCGTTTGGCAGTGCTACCCACTGCGCCACTGAGCAGCGCGAAACTAATTGAGTAATAGATTAATCGTAACTGAAGTGTAGAGACTCTGAAAAAGGCTTTGTCATCATAACACAAAAAAATTCTTCGGAGTTTTTCAGGAATTGTCGCATTTTCATTAAATCTACGTAGAATTCAAACGTTGATGAAAGTGTAGCTAAGGGTGGTTTTGGTTTAGCCTAGCGATGTTAGCGCACCAATGTTAGCGCGACTCTTAACTCGCTCACTCAAATAGCACTGAAACAATTCATCGGATTATTCGATATTGAAATAATCGTAAACTGATTTAGTAATCGATTAATCGTTAACTGAAGTGTAGAGACTCTAAAACAGGCTTTGTCATCGTAGCACAAAAAAACTTCCTCTGAGTTTCTCTGGAATTGTCTCGTTAAATCTAACTAGAATTCAAACATCGATGGAATCAAAAATCGATTAATCAGTAATTTTTTATTTTTTTTTTTTTTCAGATTAGAAGTTTTCTATCTTTTTTTTAAAATTCTTGATTAATTTTAATATTTTTAATGAAAAAATATTTGGAGGTAACTTTGC